GTCCATATTGTGAAACAGGTGCTGTAGGCTAGGAAGTCAGTAAGGGAAAATTGGAGCTATTGCCTTATTGTTGCAAGCAGAGTTGTAGCCTGTGACTTTGAATTTGCAACAGATCATTTCAGCTTAGTTTTTGGACAAAGAGAAGCTGTAGTCAAAATTATAATAGTTCTTAATGATCCTCTTAGAGTGACTGTGTGGGCTGGAACAAAGAATAGAGAATAATTTTCTATGCGTAACATTTCCAAAATGCCATAACTATGTAGGAGAACTGGTTATGTGTTTGCAAAATGCGCTGGCTTTTTCATAATCAGAGAAATCACATATTCAGGAGGAGTTTTAAATTCTTAAGAATCATCTTTGAATCGTGATTCTCATCTACACAAGCACAGGGAGTTGATGAAGACAGAAGTCTCTAAGAATCAGAAGACCTACTTATCTTCCCAAAAATCTACTTTTTTAACACAAGAAAAACAAGTTGTTATTATCAGTTGTTGTGAATATGAATTATCGACTTAAACCTGCTGGGGAAAACGAGTGTTTTTAAAGCAAATATTATTGAGTGCTTACTCTGTACTAAGTGCCTTATAGGAGTTACTTTGTTTGATACTAACAAAGTTGATATTATATAGGCAGAGAAAGATATTAGAGATATTAAGTTATTTAACTGAAATTCCACAGCTAATAAATAATAGACTCCAAGTTCAAAGTTGGGTCTTTTTTTGTCTTTAAGATACAAACAGAAACAGCACACAAAACATCCAGAATGAGGGATCAGATGTGTTTTTATTTTAAAAGCCTGTAATCATCAAACAATTAAAAAATTAACTGATTGGACTTTTAGAGTCATACAAATCCAGTTTGAAATCCTGCTGTTACCAAGTGCAGGACTTGGTAAAAAATCTGAACTTCTCCTTGCCTCTCTGATATATAAAATGTCAATGATAAAATCTTATAGAGGGGTTGTTAAGAGCCTATCAGAAGGTCTAATAGTCAATGTCTGACAAAAAATTGTGAATTTAAAACAAAAGAAGTAGCTCTTTATAAATATAAAATAGTGTCTGGTTCATTGTTGGTCAGTAAAATTTAAGATTAATGTTTCTCAGATTTGGTGGAGTCTATGGAATATTGGAAATACTGTGTATGGCATGCTTCTGTATGCATGTCTATCACGGTAGACAAAGGGACATCACATATCACAAAGGACAGTGAATGACTAGTCGAACAGTACTCTATATCTTGTGCGGTTGTGTGGGTGCAGTCTGTTGAAATTTTTGCTTAGTATATACTAAGTTGATCTTCTGTATATAAAGATAATTGAAAATGAAACGTGATGAAGAATGGGATGGGAGAGGGAGTGGGAGATGGGATGGCTGCGGGTGGGAAGGAGGTGGAGAGGAAAAGCCACAACAATGCAAAAGATGCACTTTGTAAATTTACATTTATTAAATAAAAAAAGAAAAACAAAGGACAGTGAATGAATCCATGTACCAGAAAGCCATTGGAATCTCTGGACAGAAAGTGCAGAGATAAAAATTATTTGACAGAAATCTCTAATCCAGTCCAACGTTCTAAATGCTCAGTAGCAAAATCTGAGATCTTAATAAATAACATTTGATCCAGATCACATCAGGAGTCAGTGCTAATCCCAAGACAGAATCAAGCTTTGGAGGTGTGTATTCTGGCCTCTATTCTTCATGTACACTTTATTTATCCAGAATATACACTGGTTTCTCAGTCTTTTTTGTTGTTGTTATTTATTTGACAGAGTTAGACAGTGAGAGAGGGAGACAGAGAGAAAGGTCTTCCTTCTGTTGGATCACTCCCTAAATGGCCACTACGGCCAGAGTTACACCGATCCGAAGCCAGGAGCCAGGTGCTTCTTCCTGGTCTCCCATGCAGGTGCAGGGGCCCAAGCACTTGGGCCATCCTCCACTGCCTTCTCAGGCCACAGCAGAGAGCTGGACTGGAAGAGGAGCAACCACGACTAGAACCTGGCGCCCATATGGGATGCTGGCACTGCAGGCGGAGGATTAACCAAGTGAGCCACGGCGCCGGCCCCTCAGTCTTTTTTAGCAAAGAATCTTTAACATAGTTGGGCATTCTGTCTTAATTCACCAGATGGGTAGTGAAGAGAAGAACCGCATGAATAAGGATATACCCTGTGGCTTAGCTTTTCTCCTGCAACAGCACCAAATTTCCAGTAGCCATTAAAAACAGTCCACTTAATCCTGTCCTGTAAGTCGTCGGCCAAATATCACCATTTCTGTAAGAGCCACTTCACCATTCTGTTCGACTTAGCTCCCTTGCCCCAACTCTCTCCACCCTATCTGTGTTATTTTTCCATGATGCTATTTTGTAATGTATGACACAATTTACTTATTTTTGTGTTTATTGACCGGTTTTTCAGAGGAGGTAAATTCAAGAAGGCATCGATTTTTGTCTCTTGTTCCCTGCTGTCTTTCCATCACATAGAACTCCAGGGATGCAGTGTCGGCTTTCTGTGCTTGCTGATTAAAATACTAGATGAGTGATCTCTGAAAGGAGGAGATCAAGTTAGTGTACCAGAGAAGGATATTTTATTCCACTTATTTAGAAGGACCATAAAATTCAGAAAGCCTATGCTATTAAGTGGGAAAAAAATCATATTCAAACTGAAACTTAGAGGAGAACTAGATAAAACTAGTTACCAGAAAAAAGTTTGAAAAGGAATGCAAAAAGGGGATGGGTTTTATGCCCTTTGTTTTTCCTTTATTTATATATTTTTAAAGATTTATTTAGTTATTTGAAAAGCAGAGTTACAGAGAAGCAGAGGCAGAGAGAGAGGTCTTCAATCTGCTGGTTCATTCCTCAAATGACTGCAGTGGCTGGAGCTGGGCTGATCCATAGCCAGGGTCAGGAGCTTCCTCCGGGTCTCCCATGTGGGTGAAGGGGCCCAAGCACCTGGGCCACCTTCTACTGCTCTCCTGGGCATGTTAGCAGGGAGCAGCCAGGACTTGAAGGGAGAAGCCAGTTAGAAGTGGAGCAGCCAGGACTTGAACCAGAGCCCATCGGGGATGCTGGCACTGCAGGTGCCGTACTTTACCCATTGTGCCACATTGCTGGCCCCACTGTTTTTCTGCTTCATAGATATTTTGTTTCCTTTGAGAATGACAGTGAGGTGGAAAGGAAGGAAAGGAAAGAAGAAATGAGTCAGATCATTAAGGTGCTAGCTTCATGGCACAGGATGCCTGCACCAGTGTGTCCTTGTCAGAATCCCTGGCATCTTGATCTAAAATTGAAAATGAAACATGTTATCCCAGGAGCATATGAAAGCTTAGTTTTCATCCTATTTCCAGAAACATGTGCTTTACAGAATCGGCTCAGGATCTGGCAAGTTAATACATTTAGCTTCAGCTAATTACACCATTTTGTTAACATTCTCCATCCATTCTGGTCATCACACAGTCCCTAAATTCCCTGGTACTATTCTTTACCCCAATCTGTCTCATTGCTGGTTTGTTTTGTTTTGTTTTTGGTTTTTAATTTTTTTTTGACAGGCAGAGTGGACAGTGAGAGAGAGAGAGAGAGAGAGAGAGAGAGAAAGGTCTTCCTTTGCCGTTGGTTCACCCTCCAATGGCCACTGCGGCTGGCGCGCTGTGGCCAGCGAACCGCGCTGATCCGAAGGCAGGAGCCAGGTGCTTCTCCTGGTCTCCCAAGGGGTGCAGGGCCCAAGGACTTGGGCCATCCTCCACTGCACTCCCTGGCCACAGCAAAGAGCGGGCCTGGAAGAGGGGCAACTGGGACAGAATCTGGTGCCCCGTCCAGGACTAGAACCCGAACCCGGTGTGCTGGCGCCGCAAGGTGGAGGATTAGCCTAGTGAGCCACAGCGCTGACCGCTGGTTTGTTTTTAAACTCTTCTTTGGTCCTGTACTCCCAGCCTTAGTTTCAGTTTGTGCGTGAACCCTTGCCTGAAAAAATAAAGCAAGGGTGCCAAAAGAACTGGAGAGAGAAATCCGCAGCAGCAAAGCGCGCCTAACCACGGTCCCTGCTCCTTGCACCTGTCTGTGAGGCCCCAGCCCCTTCCTGTCCCTGTCACCCCCTCACCTCTGCAGAGGCAGTGGCTCTGCACCTTCCCATCTCCTTCACAGTTCTTCATTCTCACAGTGCACCAAGCTTATCTCTCCATTTTTCCCACCAACACTAGAGGACAAGATCTTCTTATAATCATAACTGATAGCTGGTTAATCCCCCGAATCACATAATTTTAAAACCAAAGACATCTTAAAAGTCAACAAGTGCAATCTGCCTTGTTAACCCATGGTCAGTACAGTGCCATGTGCCTGGTTGGTATTTGGAAAATGTTTGCCATCAAAAAATGCAAAACAATCAGTCAGCATATATAATTCTGCAGTAGCTCTTTTTGCTATTAACTTTGCTTTCAAGCCTGTTTTTGATTCTTTTTTACTCATATCTGTTTATAAAATCTGAAAAATCACAGGAAAGTCTGTGCCTTAGAAGGCCTAAGATAAAACTGCAAAACTAGCTTCAAGTTGACAAGGGCAGCAATATAGAAACAAGAAGAGTGTTGATTACTGAGGCAAGAACAAGAAGAAATAGACTAAAATTATGGCAGGAGGATTACATGAAAATACTAACATTTTCACTCCTGAGAACTGTCACGTCATGAAAAGGTTTGCCATGGAAAGCAACGATGGGAAGGTACTGGAGGCAGCAGCACGTCTTAGCTGCCTGGATTATTAGGTGATGCTGTGGCTGATTGGATTAGGTTTTCCTTGATGGAGTGGAATAAAATGAATAGGTTAAACAGTTCCTCCTCAATGAGTCTGGAAAAGGTTAGATTTCCATTTCATTGGGAAATATAAAATGATTACAAAGAGCAAACCCCTTACCTATCTTAAAATCAGTTATGTAGCCGTCTTAACACACCCGGGGGACTGTGAGAGCTTAGCACTGATTTCTTTCATGATAATTTACATAATTGTCTTTTTCTTCCTTTCAGGCTTGTAAATTTTATAGTTCCCAGTGGTATGTAGTAAACTACAAATATGAACAATATTCTGGAGACATTCGACAGTTACCCCGGTAAGAACTTGTTATAAGTACTCTGGATTTTTTCATATGTGGACCAAGTTCTTTGTTCAAGTTCTGCCACTGTTTATGAATATATGTGCATTAATCAAGTGTCAAGGTACATTTTACAAAATTTATAAATGAGTTTAGATACAATATTGTTTTCGACAATGGATAAATTGTATATTCACAGAGTTTGGGGTCATTTATCATTGTACTTTCATGAGCTGTCTTTTCAATAACAGGTACAGGAGGATTAAATTTTAAAAAAAATACGGCCCAAGACTTTTTCTGGCAATATTCTGCTTCATGTTTGCTACTTTTTCCATGTATTTTCATGCTAGTATATCAAAAGCCATGAAAATAAGCAACTTGCAAATAAATGATATAAATACAAAGATAGCAAAAAGGAAAATAGACACCTGGCTTTTCCCCTGATTTTGGTGGGTATAAAGCTTTTAGGCAAATGTCACTTTGTTCTGCTCCTGCTCAGATGTCACCTCCACAGGAAAGCTCACCTGGCTACCTGATTGCTGGTAGAAATTTTTTTAGTGTCTGTTTCCCCTACTAAAATAAAAATTCCCCAAAGGCAAGAGAATCTCTCTACAGAATTTCCTGCAGGCCTAGGAGAAAGTCTGGCAGGAGTTGTGCACTGACGGAAAAAAATGAATGTATGACAAGTTTTAAAATACAGCAATCCTGACGGGGATTGAGTTACCCCAATTCAAAGAACTGCATTGAACTGATACCTCCCAACTAATTGGTTTGTCATGCTAAGATGATGCAAGCAATCCATAAAAACATTTAATAAAAAGTTTACTTTTTCCTAACACTTTCATCAAGTGAAACATTAAAATGATACCCACTGGATCTAATTTTTTAGTATACACAAGGTACAGAATTGGAAACTGCTCGCAAAACGTCTTGTGCCTTAGAAACCTATTTTCCAGACTTGAAAATGGTACTCTTAATTCCTGAATGCAAAATTTGTAGGAGAGATTATGGAACAGTCTGAGAAGGTAACATTTGAGCTGTCGTATGAACGAACAGCTGCTACCAGGACTGTGATCTTAGGAAAATGGTGCCCACGTGAAACAGCCAGAGCAAAGACCCCAAGGAAGAACCAACATGGTCGCTGGAGGAAAATGATTGTCAAGGGTCCTGGAGCTAAAGACTGGAGGGGGAACATAACAAGTTGAAACCATGGAGTTTAGGCAAGGGACCTTGTGAACTTGGAAGGGAGCTTGGATTTTACTCTCATTACAATAGCAGCTTTGGTGAAATTACAAATAGGAGTGTGATGGGATCTAATATACCTCTTTTAAAGATCTCTTGATCTGCTTCATGGAGAATATGACTGCAGAACTAATACAAGAAAGGAAAAAAAAGAGACCATTTCTTTCAGAGTTGCATTACCATGAAAAGCAAAATGTGCTCCTCCAAAACAGCAAATTTGTTTTCAAAGCATTGTACATTTCATTCTACCAAGTCTGTGAACATTCTTTGACACTAGGTCACTTCTGATAGCTAACTTCTTATAACTTCGTCTTGGGAAGCTCCTACCTTACCCTTGGCCTTCATGAGTAATTATTACATTCAAAAAGGGTATTAGTCACACACTTTTTGTAGGTGCAGTTGAAAAGCAAAGCACTTTTTTAACACCAACACTTCCTCTTTCTGAAAATAGTTCTGAGAAGTGGTTACAACTTGGAAGCTGTGTCCAAGCAGTTGGAAGACTGAGTATCAAGTGAGTCAGTAATCCTTGGCTACTCTTTTGAATAGACACCTTCCCAACATCTCTGGGTCTATTAAGCACGTCAATGGCTATATACCCCTTGAACACTGTTTATTTTTTCTTATAATTGTGATGCCATAAAGAAGAAAAGGTAAATATAAAATCTCACATTGGCAGTATTTTTCATCTGTTGACCCACAGAGAGAGCATCGCCAAGCATATTATGGGCAGGCATTAGGTATAGCAGCTTTTAAGATGTTGCTTGGGATGCCTGCATCCCATATGAGAGTGCCTGGGTACAAGCCCTTGCTTCACTTTCAACTTGAATTTCATCCTAGTGTACACCGTGGGAGGCAGCAGGTGCCATTTCAGGTGCTCTGGTCCCTGCAACTCATGAGTGGGACCCAGGATGAATTCTAGGCTCTTGGCTTTAGCCCGGCCCAGGCTCAGCTGTTGTGGGCATTTGGGGAGTGAACCAGTGGATGGAAGATCTCTGTCTGTCTTCCTCTGTCTCTATCTCTCTTTCAAATAAATAAACAAAAAAATACAAATCTGATAATTTCCATTATTTCAAAAAACAACAGATTGTGAACCTTTTTAAATTGGAATTTTCATAAGGCTTGCAAAGACCAATGATAAACCAATCAAAATACAGTTGAGATGGTCATTGTTTAACTAAAGGAAGTGGAAGTTGACACCAAGAAGGGGAAGAATAAAACTACCACTAAGTAAGAAACCTTAACAAACTGTCTATTCAAAATGAAAATCAGAAGTGCTAGAATAGAATCTTCTAGCATATACTTTAGAGCAATGAAGACCGTAAAACTGAACAGTGGTATTGTTTGTTAATGATTTGACAAAGCTAAGCATTACCCCCTCAAAAATCCCCATGCTCAGGTCAGTAGTGGAAACAAATAATTTACTTGGCCTTCAAAGGCTATTAAAAACAAATCATTATCAGACCTCCTGGATTAGGAGAATTCTCTTCTGACTGCTACTAACTTAAATTGATAATTTATTTTTATGGGCTGCTGAGGATGCAACATAAAAATTACGATCATGGAAGAATAGAAAAGGAGGTAAAATTTACTTTTTAAATTTAAAATTGTTAATGCTCCACATTTAAAAAATGTGTTTTCGGCCGGCGCCGCGGCTCACTAAGCTAATCCTCCGCCTTGCGGCGCCGGCACACCGGGTTCTAGTCCCGGTCGGGGCACCGGATTCTGTCCCGGTTGCCCCTTTTCCAGGCCAGCTCTCTGCTGTGGCCAGGGAGTGCAGTGGAGGATAGCCCAAGTGCTTGGGCCCTGCACTCCATGGGAGACCAGGATAAGTACCTGGCTCCTGGCTTTGGATCAGCGCGGTGCGCCAGCCGCAGCGCGCCAGCCGCGGCAGCCATTGGAGGGTAAACCAACGGCAAAGGAAGACCTTTCTCTCTGTCTTTCTCTCTCACTGTCCACTCTGCCTGTCAAAAAAAAAAATTTAAAAAAAAATGTGTTTTCATAGGAATATGCTAGAAAGATCATTATTTCAGCCTAGCATGTAAACTGGAAGCGTTCACACATGAGGAATAAAAATCAGCACTGAACTTGGAGTTCCAAAATATAAGAGCAGCACAAAAATGTTTATTGCCACTGACTTCATTAATTCATTGGGCAAATGCAGATATATGTGATATATTTTTAAAATGTACTACGGGGGCCAGTAGTACTGTGGTGTAGTGAGTAAAGCCGCTGCCTGTAGTGCTGGCATCCCATATGGGCACCGGTTCAAGTCCCAACTGCTCCATTTCCAATCCAGCTCTCTGCTATGGCCTAGGAAAGCAGTGAGAGATGGCTCAAGTCCTTGGGCTCCTGCACCCACATGGGAGACCCAGAAGAAGTTCATTGCATCTGGCTCTGGATCAGTTCAGCTCTGGCCATTGTGGCCAACTGGGGATTGAACCAGCAGATGGAAGATCTGTCTTTCTCTCTCTCTCTCGCTCTCTGGCTCTCTGGCTCTCCTTCTCTCTGTTTGTAACTCTGATTTTCAAATAAATAAATAAAAATCTTTTAAAAATGTACTATAGATGATTTGATAGAATGAAGATATAAAGAAAAAAATTATAAAAGTGTTTTTTGTGACTGAAGTCCAAATTAAGTTTGATCAACTTAGCTGGACTAAATAAGAACAGACTTTTTTTTTTAAGGTTGATTCATTTATTTGAAAGAGTTAAAGAGAAAGAGAGACAGAGAGCTCTTCCATCCACAGATTTACCCCCGCCCCAAGATGGCTGAACCGGCCACGCTGTGCCAGGTCAAAGCCAGGATTCAGGAGCTCCATCTGGGTCTCCCACCTGGGTGCAGGGGCCAAGCACTTGGGCCATCCTGCACTGCTTTTTCCAGACCATTAGCAAGGAGCCAAATTAGAATGTAACAGCTGGGACATGCCCATATTTGACACCAGCATCTCAGGCAGTGGCTCCACCTACTATGCCACAACGCTGGCCCCAAGAAAATTTTTAAATAAAAGAACATTTCTGGAGTGTTTACCATGAGCCAGAATGGACTGCATACCACTCATATATTATTTGACTTAATATCCAAAACCCTATGGGATAGGAACTATTACCCTCATTCTATTGAAGAAACTCAAGCACCAATAGGTAACTTGACCCAAACCTCACTTCTTTTTTTTTTTTTAAAGATTTATTTATTTTTATTTGAAAGTCAGAGTTACACAGAGAGAAGAGAGGCAGAGAGAGAGAGATGCCTTCCATCCACTGTTCATTCCCCAGTTGGCCACAATGGCCGGAGCTGCGCCAATCTGAAGCCAGGAGCCAGGAGCTTCTTCTTGGTCTCCCACATGGGTGCAGGGGCCCAAGGAGTTGGGCCTTTTTCTACTGCTTTCCCAGGCCACAGCAGAGAGCTGGACTGGAAGTGGAGCAGCCAGGACCAGAACCAGCGCGCATATGGGATGCTGGTGCTTCAGGCCAGGGTGTTAACCCGCTGCGCCATGGTGCCAGACCCAAACCTCACTTCTGATTGATGAGGCACCTCAGCTTTCCTGCTCCCATTATATGGGTTCTGGAAAAAATTTGGGTTTAGATATGAGAAATGAGAAAGTCTATCATTTCCAACTAGTGTTGGGTTCACACGTAGATAGGTAAGGTCCCTTTATTGCAGAATCCCAAAGGTTCTTAGGGACCTCACAATGCTCCTAGAGGGGAAAATTTTAAGTTCAGTAGTCAAACATACTAACCTTCTAATTATATTCAAAAAGAGATGAGTCCTTGCATAAT